ACGCCTCCTAGTTTAGTGTCATCTGCAAACTTGCTGAGAGTGCAGTCCACACCATCCTCCAGATCATTAATAAAGATATTAAACAAAACCGGCCCCAGGACCGACCCTTGGGGCACTCCGCTTGAAACCGGCTGCCAACTAGACATGGAGCCATTGATCACTACCCATTGAGCCCCATGCACCCATGCCCCCACACACATCGTGTCAGACACCAGCAATGACTGTGTATAACATTCCCCCCCCACACACACACACAAACACATTAATATCTTCCTCTTCTCTCTCTTCATTCCCTAGGTGCTATGGGGAGTTGGAAACAGACAGGTAAGATACTCACAGCAGAACATCAGCCTCATGTGCCCTGGGCATTTGCAATGAAAATGAGGCTGGGAGCCAGGAAACCTGGGTTCTGTCCCAACATGGGAGGGGAGTGGGGTCTAGTGGGTTAGAGCAGGAGGGATAAGGTGGTATCATTGGGGTTAGGGATGGGGTTAACGTTATCATAGGACTAGGGCTATGATGAGATCAGGGTATCATAGAATTAAGATTATCATGGGGGTGAAGGTCTGAATTTAAATGTGGGATTTCTTTCTTTCCCACATAGAGGCAGACCCAAGAGAGTATAAGTTAAAGTTTTACCAAGATTGCTCCTGTAAATTTAATTGGCCTATGTAAATAATACTTTTACCTTTAAGAGCCTTGGGGTTGTGCCCATGAATTGCAAGGGAACCCAGGTGTTACCAGCCATGTTGCATTCCATCTCCCAGAACTAGCCCCATGATTTCAATGGGATGCTGGGTTCTCTTTTTCAGTTTCTGTTCCTCCTTGATACCAACTCAGCCCTAACCCTGATGATAGCCCTATACCCAGGATAACCCTAACCCCAGATAACCTTTTCCCTAATCCCATGGGAATCTGCAACATAGACATGCCCCCAACTCTCCCAGCCATGTGCTGGCAGGGATATTATATCTGTGTCTAATCTTGTACACTGAAAGAGGTGTGTGGGGTCTCTGATGCTCAGCTGATTGTTCTGGTTATTGAGAGACGTTTGTGTGGGGAACAATTTTAGAGCTGTGAAATAGGCTGTTGTCTTCCAAATCTGATGGAGTCTGAAAACTGGACACCCAAGGAGACAGCCTCTGTTTACTGTCCAGACGAGATGCAGGCTGGAGATTTACAAACGAACTGTCGGAGAGTTCTCAGAAGAGGGGGCTCCTGGGTTAAGAGGCGATAGCTTGTGACTGGATCAGAGAAGAAGATTGGTCCACACGGTTATCCATTACAAGGTGCAGGGTGGGGTCTCAGGAATGGTAAATCCCAGGTTTATGGGCTGGACAAGGGCTGGAAGAACTAACCATTGAGAGAGTAACTCATCAGACAGGACAGTACCTTGCCAACATGTACAGGCTGTAGGCTGTGTTTTGTTTTTCTTCAAACTGTAATCTCATGTTTTCACATCCTGTTCCTGGCCTCTATTTTGAATCTTTCCCTCAGCATCTGCTAATTCAGCTTCAGCTTGGTTTTGCAATAAACACGTCTAAGTGCCAGAGCTAAGGAGAGGGTTGATCTGAGGGGAATGCAGTGAACTGGGGAGCGCAGTTGCCATGGAGTCAGCATATCGGTGCGCATTGTGGGTGTGCAGAAGGCAGGGGACTGGGCACTGGAGTGTAATGGAGTTGGGTGTGTAAATTGCCACCCGCAGAGAGGTAGAGCAGGGCTCTCAGAGCACCTGTTTTGGCAGCAGCTAATGGTTAGGAGAGTTTCTCTAGTGGGCACAGACAGGGCTCCCCCTCACCTGTGCTGGGACTACGGGGTAGTGGTGCAACCCATACATCACAGGTCACCCCAAAGAGTGTCACAGTGCTGGTGGGAGTTGGAAACCCATGTAAGATTTCAACAGCAAAACATGTTGCCCTGGGTGTGTGGAAGTATAATATGGCTGGGAGCCAGGAATCCTGAGTTCTCTCTCACCTCTAGGAGAGTAGTGGGGTCTCATTCCCTGGCTCCAGAAGAGGAATGAGTTGTTCTCTTATTGTCAGGTAACACATTGTGACAAAGTTCCTCCTCTATCTTGGTGGGTCCTGCGCTTATTGGCAGATTTTCTTGCCTCAGAGATTCACCATGTGGGTTGGGGAACAGCCCAGAGACCTTCCCCTCTGGGAGAACCCACAGTCCAGGTCAATTGGGAGGTTTGGGGGGAACCCGGGCCCGCCCTGTACTCCGGGTTCCAGCCCAGGGCCTTGTGGACTGCAGCTGTCTATAGTGCCTCCTGTAACAGCTGCATGACAGCTACAACTCCCTGGGCTACTTCCCCATGGCCTCCTCCAAACACCTTCCTTAGTCTCACCACAGGACCTTCCTCCTGGTGTGTGATAACGCTTGTGCTCCTCAGTCCTCCAGCAGCACACTCTCTCACTCTCAGCTCCTCGCGCCTCTTGCTCCCAGCTCCTCACACTCTCACCACAAACTGAACTGAGCTCCGTTTTAAAACCCAGGTGCCCTGATTAGCCTGCCTTAA